AATTCTCATAATCTGATTCCAGTCTATAGATATCATGAGAGATATAACATCACTCTTATTGATAGAGTTCACCTATACGAGAATCAAAATTATATAATAATAGTTTATTCATCCTTTCTGATCACAAAGAAACATGATATACGATATGTCAGTGGAAGAAAGTTCTCTTCAGAATAAAATAACATCAAGAACTGTTGAAAAGGAATATTCTCAGATAAATTATAAACATACAAAAATGGATATATATTTATATAAAGCAATACATTGAGAATTCGCATTCTCTATGTGATGAGAATATCAACTCCCTCTCACTTTATTCAATAGAAAACAACTACTTTCCTGGCTATATGAGTTGATGACATCATCACAGGCATGTATGTTTGAAGAAGTTGCCATCAATAATTATTATCATAATATAATTATTTTGTAGTTACAGTTCGACAGATAAATTCCATTCTGCAGTTATCAGGCAATATTTTATATACCTTATAAACTATCTGACATTTCGTAATCGGCATCTTTGAAGGCAGGAAAAATGTAAGTATTTGAAAACTGATAAATGTGCAATAATTGATCTGTATTACTGAGAACTTTACTGATATTGACAGGTTTTTAGCCGGATTAAGTTTGTATCAATATTTGCGATGTCTAACAACAATAATTAATCTACCCAACCAATATGAGCAGAATGACATCATATGGGATTACGCTTATTTATTAGATTCAATGAGGATTGTAAAGGAGGTATGAATCAGCAAGTTCCAGTGGTGTATCTTTTTCGGTACGAAATATAGTTACGTCATACACTTACAATAATCCTCAAATGAATTTTGAATACTGTTTAAATGCTTACTATCTCAATTATACGTCAAAATGTGGCATTAAGGACGAAATAAGTAGTATATTGTTTATAACGAGCACGGAATGATAGTGCTTTCCTACGAGAAAGAAGTTTGCAGCATGAGCCATTGGCGGATGCTGCAATCATTCAAGTAGGAAATTAGCATTCCGAGCAAGTTATACACTATACACTATAATTTTTCTACGGCTATAATAGATGACAGCGACATTTTAGATTTCTTCGTCTTGTAGCCATCTGATTTCCTGTCAAGGAATGCTCATCTATGAGACAGCTGTCATTGCTTGAAATTTGACATTCCATGGGCGATGAATTCTTTTTTAAAATAATAACACAATGGAGTCATTGCGATATCAGATACGGAAATAAAATTGATGACATACAAAGTACCTCATTGATGTATCCAACACAGTAAAACAAAAGCAATCTTGTGATATAGCCGTAGAAAAAAAAGTTTCCTCAGACAAATACACGGTATGAAAGTCACACAATACACCATACATTATTGTTTAGATTCAAGAAAATATCATGGAGAGATAATTTATGCTGTTCTTCCATATTTTATTTTTTTATAAGACATCGTTGATAACAAACGAATCAATAACTAATATGAAATTTGTGTGGCCTTCTACTTCACTGAGTTCAATTAGACGTTGTCTATTATGTGTGTAGGTTCGTACTAGTATAATAACGATTGTTACTCATTATACCGGGCGTTCATAAATGTAGGTTCAAGGCCTTCATCAATAAAAGTGAATATAAGTACTAGTTAATTGTTTTATGCATAAAGTGCATGAATCCCAATAGATTATATAATCTATCTCACACAAAAGACGGTTGCCTCTATAAATAATATACCATGTGACACACGAGACATGTATTTTTTTTATTTGAAGAGATACAAATTTTAAATTAACAAGGGTTTTATAACCAATGATGGCGCTTCCCTTGAAATCAATGACAATTTTCGTCAACCACCTGGTTTGATCGAAAGTAGACCCAACTTTATTTTAAATGACATCCTGTATATTTCTGTAGCCTATCTTATTTGCCCTAAAATTCTTTATTCAACTAAGTAACATAATTTGATATTCGTTCATTAATTGGCTGTCAAATTGCATTTTATTGAAATACATGAAATTGTCTGTGGCCCGAATACAATGACAATTCGATGCAGACGATATTATCAAAATATTTTCCATACCCTTATCGGTCCATGAAGATTGCAATTCAATGAATAATTGTCAAACTAGACATTTCGTGTATACCGTCTACTGAGCGAAATTATACTGAAAATACAATAATATAGACTTATGAACAGATGTATCAGGACGATACATCAATTATTACAACAATTTCAGTTTCATGTATCCAAATGGATGATCATGTTACGACTACATGGCAAAAATGAAAGACAAATAGTTTGTTCACACGTAGCCAAATGAAAAAAACTGAGTTTATGTACATTTTAGTTTTCTCAATATCGTGAGTTATTTTCGGATGATTTTTTTAAACCCAATGAAATTATTGACAATCTTCTGGGATCGATAAGGGTATGCAAAATATTCTGAAAATATCGTCTAAGTAATGATCTTTGGATTTCTGAGCCTATCAAGCATCGAAATGTCATTGTATTCGGGCAACAGCCAAATTCATGTATTTCAATAAAATGCAATTTAACAGCCAAGTAATGAATAAATATCAAATTGTGATACATAGTTGGATAGAGAAATTGAAGGCGAATAAGATAGGCTACCATAATAAACAGGGTGCTATTTGAAAAAAAAAAGTTAGGTGTAGCTCTAATCAAACAGGTGGTTGAAGTGAATTATCATTGGGTTCAAAGGAAGCGCCATCGTCGATTTCATAACCCTTGTGAATTTCAATTTTTTATCTCTTCAAATGAAAAAACTACAGGCTTTTACATGTCTCCTGTGTCACCAGGTATATAAGGTAGCTATATGAAATTATATTTTGAGTCAGGCAGCTTAATCATAACCGTATCATGAAAAATGTTCAACTCGACATTATAAAGTAATGCACAAAATTAATAAATCGTACAACGATTACTTTTGAAAAAAATGCAAAAACACGTCAAACTATTCTTTTTATTCCGCATCTTTTGACATAAGTTACAAAAATAACACGTCAAAGTTGTCAAAGTTATGACAAATTTTTTTAATGGGAAGCTAAGATTTTTATTACATTATGTGATAGAGCTTGTGTTTTTACACAAGGGAAAAATAGTTGCAGTAGGGCCAGTAGGGCTCATATAATTTAATAAAAATCTTAGCTTCCCATTAAAAAAAATTGTTGATGACGTCATAACTAAGAACTGTACCCAAGTGGTGAAGTTTAGAACATGGAGATTTTTTTGATTTTCCAGCTTTTGCTGCATTCACTTCTCACTGAAACATTTCGGTCGGTATTGAAAACGCTATTCAATGATATATCACGTTGCAATTCACTTGTTTTCCTCAGTTTCGTCCTCTAATTTTCAACTTCATCACTTAGTTTTGCAATCAATTTCTTTTTCTCGATAATAATTTTGTTTTGCATTCCGTGTGATTATACTATTGGATTTATTTTAATAGTCTGTTTTGTAAATTAATGGAACAGACCATTCAGCAGGGCATTTCCATGTATGGTTTCTTCTCAATAGTACATGAGATTATATTTCAAATTCAAATAATGTGGAATGAAAAAGTGCGGAACGACTATGGTGCTCTTGTCATATTGCAAGGTGTGTAACTTAATAAAACTAAACATGCAAAAACACCAACTGTTGTCATTTCTGTATACGAACTCTCATCTATATAACTAATACCAATAATCATTATTCCAAATTTTTTTGGGATTTTCGCTCCTCGTTTCTATAAAATAAAAATATGAATATTATTTCAATATACGTGTAGTAAGGACAAATCAGATGATTTGCCCCAAAATGTCACTGCGTTTAAAGAATTTTCCTATCAGAGAGCCTAAAAAAAAAATTCACTAGCTTGTCAGTGACAATTTGTATTGAAAAAATTTTTGGAAAAGAGAAATAAAGGTATATAGAGAAAATATCAAATTTTCACTTATCTTTGGACGTTTCGGGACCGATTCTGCTCCCGTTTTCAACATGAAGAGATTTTTTCAATTGCGAAGTCGTATAATATGTCTTGAAGCTTTTCAGTTTTCAATGACAATTGGTGACGTTGGCAATCAAAGGAGTTACAGGATGTTTTCATTAATTAATCTTGAATTTACCATTTTCATGTTCAGATTTTAGTAGTGAATACCATGTTCTGTCTATATCAACTGAACAAGAAGCAATGCTATTGTCTCCGTTCAGAAGAATGCAAGCAGATTCCTTGATTTTTCTCTTCTGGTTGTTATCTTCTTTTCCAATGATTTTAATATTATTCCACTCTGCCATATGTTGTCCGTATATTGAAATAATATTCATATTTTTATTTTATAGAAACGAGGAGAAAATCCCAAAAAAATTTGGAATAATGAATATACCACCTCCTCGATTAACCTACAGACACTATTTAATACCAATAATACCATCCAGTGACTACATAATACTACCTTTAATTCTTTGAAAAGTATCAAAAGAATGCGCTTTGACATCCGGTTCGAAAACTTCATTTCTCCGAAGCTATATTCCACAAAAATTGTAATCCACAACATTATCAGGAATTAGGAACGTCGAGCTTTTACCTTGCACAGAAAAACTAGCTCATTATTTTTTAATCGCCTAGTCAGCTTTATCAGTATAGATTTGTTTAATGGTATATTATTAACGATAATACGAAGTAGTGATGATAATTACTATAAATACTTAGAGTAATTCCACAATATAAGGTTATCTCTTTTTTTTGTAAGCGTTTTATATACTTCAACAATAACGTGCTATCCGTATCCGTCATGAACTAAACTAATGATAAAAAGTGTTTCGAACAATACTAAATATTTGCTGACAATGCTGGTGATGGTTATATACATAACGACTATGATTTCATACTGGGTGTTCCAAAGCTTCAAGGCCAGCAGGTATCTGGGTTATCTTAGGCAAAAAGTTGTAAGAAAAGTTGTAGAAAATGTTCTCCAGATAGTGAGATCAAATCAACTAGAAAATTTCAGTTAAATATAATATTTTCATTTTAATTGTCATCAATTATAGTAGCTTCCACTGTTTCTTGTAAGAGATCATCTGTAACATTTTCTTCATGATCATTTTCGTTTGTTGTTTCTGTTTGATTTGTTTTCGGCTTCGACTTTGGTAATTCTGTCACATTCTCATAAAGCTTCGTGAAAATGTCATAAGGTATGAAGTCGCTTGGGACAGGCCAAACTTTGTCTGAAAAATTAGGAAGATCAACGAAATGTTATTTGTTCCAAAGGCATGTGAAAACATTGTATTTTATCGAACGGCACCAGTGCCGATCACTATTCTGAGCAGAATGATTGAACAATGGCACTTTCGTCATGTGATAACGAGTTGAAACTAAAAGCAATTAAACGGCGATACTGTCCAAACGGCCGCTATTCAAAAGATTTCGCCCCTGTCGAAAGATAATATCCGATGGATCTCGATTTTGAACACCCCATATCTCTGTAATCATTTTCGATGAAAGTGTGATACATGGATGAAATCAGCTCTTCAGGGGGAATCTAAAAATACAATGAAATACAGGGTATTTCTTTGAAATATCAATGTTGCTACTGCTTTCTTGTAGAAACGGCAACACTGCATTGTCGAAAATATTTATTTGTAATGAAGAGAGCGTATTCTGAAATATGAGCTCGCACATTTTCATGGATTTCTCCGGACTGATTCTCGATATAAAGATAGTGTATGAATGCTCGTCGTGTCACACCCTGTATAGATGATGAGGAGTAATGATGATACTACTACTAGAATATCCGATTTTTTTAAATCAACTTCCACAGATATATGATTTTTGTTTACCTTTGTAGATGTCTCTCTGAGGAACTACCCCATATTTGGAGTAATAATCAGAAAGATGTTGCGTGAAGTTGGAATTGATTATAAAATTCAGCACTTCTATCTCCGGTAAGGTTGATCTATAGGGGTTGCTCACACCACCCCCTACACTGCCCGATCTAAGGGATTGACTGCTCATATTACGACTGCTGTGCCGCTGGAATGAAGAATCCATCATGGCCGAGCGATTCTACAACAGAAATAAAGTTATGTGACACAGTGTGATATCCTTCTACAAACCACATTTTATAGTATCGATTTAAATAGTGGTGCCCGCGAGAGTCTCGTTTTCGAGAGTCTCGCTTGGTCTCGTCTCGTTTTCGAGACAAGACTCGAGACGAGACTCGGACAAGACGAGACGAGACTTTTATTGGTCTCGTCTCGAGTCTCGTGCAAGACTTCTCGTGTCTCGTGCGAGAGTCTCGATCGCAGGTAAATATTTCTGCGTGTCGACTGCAGACTTGAGAATTTCATTCATAATACAACATATTCAGAAATAATTCAGACTATATAGCACATATAGACAAAAAATTTCATTCATAAATACTTTAAAAACACAATCCATGATATCTCTTATGGCGGCAGAATATGACCGCAATTCTGCAATAACGACAGATCGCAAATTGAATGACTATACCTGAAAATCTATAAATAAGTCATTCTGTGCTAAATAGTCTAAGATGAAGAATAACTTTGTTTTGATAGATATATTGCAATGGTGGAAAATTCATGCTTCTGAATTTCCCGTTTGATGGCACGAGATCTCTTAAGCATACCGGCCACTTCAGTTTTTTTTCTTGTTCAGATGTATGATGTAAGTATGTACCTATTGTCTTCCTACTTCTACATTATACCTAGAAAAGATTATGCATGACGTAACTGCGATACATCTGCGAGAATCTCGTACGAGACGCGAGACAAGACGAGACTGGAGGCTGCGAGACGAGACTCGAGACAAGACTTCATATTTCATCGGCGAGACGAGACGAGACTTTTCGAAAGTCTCGTCTCGTTGGTCTCGTGTGAATCACTAGATTTAAAGGCGACGAAATTTTCTTCACCTTTCAGAACAACATACCAAAAATTCTGAAGGGTTATGTCTTTAATATTTCGGAATCCCTGAAAAGTACTGTTATGAAATTCGTAGGTCAATCCACTATACAGGTGACATGGAAAATTGTACATTGCATAGTGCCACTCAATAGAGGATACTAAAATAAGAAAAAAAGTTCCTATGAACATGGGTCCACAAAGCCTTCGGTTAAGAGATACGGGGTGTTGAATTCAATTTTTTTTTTGTTTTTTTTCTAATATCTTCAGCCAGAGACGCAAGAAATGGATACAATGTGTTATATACAGGGGTTTTTCATCATGCTAAATTCAAATATGATCTTAGTTTTGTGATGACTGATAGAGGGTGCTACATACAGGGTTCCATCCCTATTGAATCGGTCGTAACTTTTTTGCTATATACTGTATGTCATTTTCGACGGAAAAAAATTTGTTATCCCTTCTTTTATACTCAAGAAAGGTATACCTTGTCCAAGTCGCTAGAAGCAATGGTTCCAGTATACAAATGCATCTAAAAGCCGACAATGCACGCAAATTATTCAAAAAGCGCCAAAGGAACTTTTGCAAAAACAATGATAAATACTTAAACAATTATAACATTTTAATGGTATGATGAAAAATATGATTAATTAGAACAAAACATTTTGAGTTTTCAGAAGATGTTCAAATTGTTGTCCTTGTACTTCAATACATTTTTCCATCGAAATTCAACACCCCGTATCTTTTAACTGAAGGCCTTGCGGACCAATGTTCATATATAGGAACTTTTTTTCCTTATTTTATCGTCCTTTATTGTGAGGCACTATGCAATGTACTTTTTTCTATGTCACCCTGTAGATAGGGAAAGTACATGTCATACCAATTCAATGAATATGAAGGCAGTTAGGTATTACGCATTCTCTTTGATAAAAATTGATGTTACTTATTTTGGAGTACGGCATGCTGATATTTTGATGGATGACATAATCAATCGTCTAACTTTTCACTAACCGCAGTGTTTTTTATAATTTTTCTTGGTTTTCGAGATATCTAACGAGATTGATTTTGGTGATACTTGTTTATGATTATGACGATCATCAAGTTTTGCAAGTTTTTGCCTCATTCGTGTTGAGTTGTTAACCACAATGATCATGTTTATGAAATATTTCGGCCTATGATAATATTGTTGGTCATCTTCTTTTTATTTCTGGAATGAAGTTTTCATACCAGAAATCTTGAACGGAGATTTGGAAATGACCTGCTCCCAAATCATATGATGAAGAGCTTGCGGTGAGCTTGCGGAAGTGGTGAACATGATTATTGCTGTCAATAACTAAACACAAGTTAGAAACGAGCAAAATATTATATAATATCATCATCATAAACGAGTCTTATGGTGAAGCACCAAAATTCTCCGGTGAGGATGCTAGGAATCGGTGTCGAAATGTTGGGAAACATGGGATCGCGCGCCCCCACTTTTCCCCCTCACAGCAGCAGAGATTAGAATTTTGATCTACAATGAAGAGAACAAACAGAATTCATTGATTCATATCGAAAAACGCGCATGAACAACTTGATCTATAACGTTTCTAGATAGATTATAATTCCGACTACTCATTGATGAACATATCATGGACATCGTCCTCATGGATGAGTTCGAAATGGGTGTTCTCCGACCCATGCTATAATGAATCATTGAGAAATACAGGGTTCGATTTGAAAATTACTTATTTTTCTAGAATAATCCCTCCACTCTATGAATAACATTCCCAAAAAGTTCCATCATCTTGTTTTTTTTTTCACTTCATGAACCGATAGAACTCACGAGCTAGTGGAGAATTAGCGTATTTCAACTCTATAATGCTGTTGATCAGGAGTATAACCAAGGGTTTCGAATATGCTGTAGGTACTTAAATATATGTAGTTTGGTGAAGTGAATGTTGTCCGAACCTCCAGACGTTCTTTGGCCATTTCTCCGACAGATTCGGGCAAAGACATAACGAATAGTGAAACAGCAACTATAGGTCGGAAGACAACTTCAGTGGTCTAAGATCACCTGTAGGACTTTGTGAAGAACATAGGAAAATATATCAAAGAAAGGAAGGAATGCTCGAAGTTATCTTCATGGGAAAATATAGGTTCAGACTCTAAGAGGTGTCAAAATATATGAAAATAATTTTTGAAGAAAAATACTTTGTATTTTCAAGTAGAGAACGGGAGCAGATTTGTTCCCTAAACGTCCAAATATGAGTAATTTTTTTTTTACAAAAAATACTGGACTCTTCACTACGAATGAACGAATGTCTCTCTGGAAGCAGATTTTGATTTTTTGTCTTACTTTCTTCAACAAAAAAAAATACTCGAAAAATGCAATGTTAATGATTTTTTTGCAGAATATCGGTGAATTTTTTCAAAATTTTACTCCCAGAGAGACCTAGATACTTCAATTCTGCATCTCACTATATTTTTTGTAAACCGAAAAAATCAATATTGAACAATGAGAAGTGGAGGCGGAGAAATCATTGAACTGATGCATGGTGTATCCTTCTTTTGAATATCTGCTACCGATTCACTAATATTGTTCATTTTGACAAACACGTTTTAAAAACTGAAACAGATCTTCAATATGCGTTGAAAAATGATTATTGAACTTGCTCATGAGGTCATGAGGTCTGCTCTGTTAGTTGGATTAGAATTAGAAATTGTTTGAGAAAATTGGGAAATCAGTTTTGTATGTACCAATAGCATAAAATAGGCATTCATGAACCGCATTGTGTAGGTAATAGACCAGGCGAAGCGAGGTATACCAACACGTCAAGGTCCCTAAAAAGTTTCGCCCGAGATTCACACAAATATTTCATGAACATCTATTCATCCACAAATTCACCGTAACTATGGAATTAATTATATGTACCTCAAAGCCTGCAATGTCCACTTTATTTCCGTAGGGCTCTAAAGTGCTACTTTACGCCGGCTTAATCGGGCGATAAAGTGCCACTTCACGCCCGGGCGTACATAAATCGACTTACTATTACTGACTCTCGTCCGAAGGCTAGACTAGTCTTCCCAAGCAAACGTGTATCAGGCGAGTAGCTGTCTTCGACGAAACTGGTGACAGTAGCATACATTTTCTTGACGCAATTGAAGATGATTCGTCCTGAATCTTCCAGGGAACAATTCTCGTCGAATTCGCTGAGCAATTTCGATGGGACACCAGAACAGCAGTTCCAGTTCATGATGAACCTCTGGAATTCAATACATGTGGCGAACATAAAAGTGTACCGTGGGGAGAATATACTGTATTTTCCAAACACATTTTTATTTATGATTACTATTACTCTGCACCTACAATAATTTTGAACATTACAGAAAATCATCTGAGCGCCTTTGGCTTCTGATTTACAAACATTTATTAAAATGTGTTCATATCTCATTTTGATTTCAGCTATGATGATAAATTTAGGAATCAGGTAGAAAAATTAGTAGCAATATTCCGGGTGTCCCAGATTTTGTCGACCAGCAGATACCTGGGCTATCTACAACATGCAAAAAATTTCAAAGAATTGTTATGGAATTTCCGAGAGCAGAAGTTCTCCTAAATGGTGAGATCCAATCACCCTTGTGCTAATCAATCTACTATAGAAACTACCCCTAACTTTGGTTCTTCAAATTGCACCTTCATGTTTTTTTCAGTTCATCTTATTGAACTTCTTGTTCCCAATTCGACTTTACAGGGTGATCTATTAAGAATGGGAAATCTCTGAACTAGAGATAGTAAACACAAAAATGATGAGACTTAGCCCATTATGCCTGATGAGAATGTTGCTGGTTTAGGAGATACAGGGTGTTCTAGGGGAAGATTTCAAAATTTTACAATAACTTTGTTAGTTTCAACAGCACGAACATGAACTCTTGTATTTCTATGATTTCTGACATGAGGAATATGAATTTGCAACTTATGTTGTGTGATTGCTCATAGTGGGTGCAAATGGCACTTTGTTACTTCGATAATTTACATCATATCTTCTATGTCAATTTATTGATGATCAAAACAAGTGGAAAATCTGAAAGCTCGTTCAATTTCACATGAAAAATGTACTCCTCATCAAACTATCTAGCATCAACAGATCTTGTGTTACGCTCTTAAAGAGATTCATTTTCCACTTATGACATTTTAATAATTTTATTTATCAAATTAAGAATAAAAAATCTCTGAACTACAGATAGTAAACACCCAGATATAAAGATTTAGCCCAACATGTCCCATAAAAATATCGCTGGTATGAGAGATACAGGGTGGTTAAGGAGAAGATATTTTGGATTGAAATCTTCTCCTTAACCGCCCTGTACCTCTCAAACCAGCAATATTTTTAGAAGGCATGTCGGGCTAAATCTCCATTTTTGGGTGTTTACTATCTGTAGTTCAGAATTTTCCCATTCTTAATGTATCACCCTGTATATCACGATCGATATGGCGTTATATTCGAAATTATGAAGGAGTAAATGATTGCGCAGGCTTACCTGGTTTATATGTGAAACATTTATGATCAATTTCATGACCTTCAAATGCTTTTGGAATTTCTCATTTGATAGCAATATACCAATATGTGCATTCAAAGAATCTTCATCACCCTAAAAAAAATGCGAACTATAATAGACCAATTCATACCTCATCAATATATAATGTTTGTGACGGTCCTATGTTTTCATATATAGGAATAAGTCGATTCATCAAACTCACCTCAACTAAATGTACGAAATATCGGTTATAGTACAATAAAAATCCAGTAAGGCTTTCTAAACAGTTGCTATCATTAACTATATTGATGCAACTGGAGAAACATTGTTTAATCATATCACCGTTTGGGGGAAAAGTGTGCTCTCCCACGTAAATTATTCGATGTAAAAAAGTTACCTGAAACAATGAGACACATTATTATAATATTACACCAGCATCATAATCCTTGTCCAACCGAAAGGAATCGTACGCAAATCTTATTATATTGAAGATATATCAGAAGAATGTGAAGAGATGAGCTATCCATTTCTCTTCTTCCTTCAATTATCACCATTGTGAATGATTCGTTATGAATCTTTGTCATTCTTGTTCCTTATTACGTCAAAGAAAAGCAAAAATTGAAATTTATATCAAAATCCGATATCCTATGTATGAAGATGAAGTTCAATGCACCAGGTTCATATATTGATAACGAAACAATAACTAATACTACATAGTACTCACACACCCTTCGAGCAATTTGAAAATTTTCTAGAACGATTTCGTACATATTTCTTCTTACTGGAGGCTGGAGACCTTGCTGTTTACTTTCTTTTAATTGAGTCCTCCTTTTGGGGTAATTGACCTTAACTTCTCTGTTCATCACTTCTGTAAGGTTGATTGATGCACAAAAAGAATGATTCCAAAACTTATTTCAAATGTGATTCTGACAAAGATATGAGGGACACTTAACCTCACTGTGAATGCAATGAAGCAGACATTGTCATAGCGTGGTCATAGCTACGCTTTATCAATAGTACATGTAGTATGCACATAGTTTATTTTTGATTGACTAAATACCTGAACGGGCAGTACTCCAGTCAAATTGATGTTTCATCTCGGAATGAGAGATAATTAGCTTCATTTTGACGTTCTAAAAGTTGTCTCAAATGTCTCGTATCTGCATCGTAAGCGATTCAATGTAAAAGCTCACAGAATTCGGTTCTTCGCGATTATCTATAGCTCCAATGATATCGACACCAATTATACAAATTGTATAGAGCATTAAAGACGTCCTGAATTTGAGGAACTATGTCCCGCGTCCTGTCGAGATCCCTTGCAGGACTCCAAATGTCCTGAATTGTGTGGGCTATGGAGGTGACATCATCAACCTCGTGGAATGAAGTTTTCCTGCTATGAGTGTTTATTTATCTGTAGGTTTTATTCAACACATGCAAGTAAGAAGGACAGATATATGCTGAGTGCAGAAATACTCCACCAGTTTTATTCAATAGAATTTGCAATGTACTTTTTTTTTCGCACCTCACTTTCTGGACAATTTTTTTTTGAGGAAGTAGCACTTACAGCACGTACAAAATACCTACCAAAATTTCAGCCAATTTGACCGAAACCTATTTCCCTTAAGATATGTGTGGGGTCCTTTCATTATTCTATTTGGTACATGTAAAGTTTCTAAATTGTCATCACAACTGTGATTTTATTCCAAAATATAAATAGCTTACCGTAGAATGGAGGAATGAATTTTGGCGATTTCAGAGCTAGTATTATTAACAATTTTTCATTATCAATCTGTTTCAATGCTATCGGTAAGATGTATAGACTAAAATTCAAATTTTGAAATAAAAAGTGAGTGCCTATCTTTTATGTTTTAATATCATTCAAAATAACTCCAGGTTTGGGGTTATTTGGGATGATTATTAGTTTGCATGCAAAAACTCATCTGATTTCAAACTCATATCAAATAGGCCCATGGTATGGTATTTTGGGAATTTTCTTTACAGAAATCTAATGATTTTTCTAGGGATGACGCATATATGTCACACATTTATAAGTTCTCACATCCATAACTTATTTTCATCACCTCGTTAGATAAAAACGATAAAAAAATTATTGAAAACATTTATACATGTCAAAGAACTTATAATACAATTCCTTTGTCATGTCTTCCACGGGAAATTTCAGGTGTAGATGAAATACATCAAATTTGGCAAATTTTTCTTGCAAATTTTGATGGTTACACCCTTGTGGTAAAGGTGATAACATTGCAGGAGACTATCAGAGATCATTGCGAAGTGGAAGTATGACAACGGAAGTAGGAGTAATATATGGTCAGATGTTCCAAAACGTTTGGATTTTGGCCACAGTATCTCCTAAACAATATTATTGTTTGAGGAACTCTTATAGGAGCTTGAAGTCCTATGTAAATCAGTTTCAAATACCTAGTCCATTTTTCGTTGATACCAAAAACATTCTTTCTGTTATGCCATCATTTTGATTCTTTCAATCGAAATGTGAAAAACTTATTTTCAAGTAAAGTGAAGTTGAGACTTCATTGTATGTACTTCGACAAATTGAAGATTTGCACTATTTCCTATCTGAGAGAGAGCCCAAAACTTTCGTGAATACGAATTGTGTAGTTTGGAATTGGTTGTCACAAATCTTGATGAATGATGAATCAATCACATTTTAACAAATTACCAATATTCTACGGTACTTTTGTCGAATATGTTTCCTCAAAAAAACTCTTATGATGTTTGTGAATAAGGTGGTTGATTGTCCTATACATTATAGGATAAGATTCATAGTTCAGTTTGAATGCTCCAGATTTTTTGCATCAACAAGTTTCGGCTTCATTATTTTTTATGAACCTTCTCAAGGTGTTATTAGTTTTGTAAGCAGCTCTGAAATATAATTTATGTAGAAAAGAAGCAAATTTTTGTTTTGATGATCCAAAAAAAAAAAAACGCTATACATAAATCAGATCTGAAGATGAAGTACATTTCGCGTGATATCAAGATCTTTATTGAAATTTTCCTGTATGAGAGAAGGACATTCTCCAACCTAGTGATCATACCAACTATATATTTTATATTACATGCTGCCATTTTATGTTGATGAGAGTGAGGTGAATCATTATCAATAGTGATACCAGTGCGGAGAGGTTAATGAAAAAATTGATAAATCATGTTACACAACGAGAATTATTCGTATATTAGGAAATCACCTTGTTGTTCAATGAAACGACAATCAACAATGAACTGTCTCATGAAAATAAATAACAAAATTACTAAACACTCTTATATTCCTAGGAAATTGCAAATCATATAATATTTTCTTCTCGACTTGGCACTTTTATTGAAACACCCGTATAAATCGTTGAGTTTCAAACAATCTCCCACAGACATCCCCTTTCTCTGACCAAGCATCTTGACACCAGGTTGCTTAGGAGTTATGGTGTGCTTTCCTTTTTTCTTGCTGAAGAACGATTTCCCGTAATGCATTATGGAATCATAGTCGTATTCGAAACTGTAGGTCGTGTTTTCCAGGCTCTGTTTCTCGAAATTGGATTTATATTCTGGAAAAATCGAACAAACAGTGCTGCAGAATTTACCAAAACCACCGAACATAAACAGAGACTCTGTTTATGTTCGGTGCCAAAACATCCCATTCATCATCGTAATACAGAAAGAAGAGTTATTTTAAATAATCTAGTATCAACTCAACCCCTTCCACTCCAGGTATCCAACATATGGATATTTTGGATATGCCTCACAGGTACCATGATATCCATATACGGATATTAGGGTATATTTTGTTCGTTGGTATGTCTAGAGGTGGAATGGCTCTGATGTCTCATCTGTCTGGTATGGTGAAAAGATATTTTTTCTGTGACGGGAAAAAAGTTTGGCATTTCATCTCTGTTGGCAGGTTATAAAATGTCACTTTTCATAAACTACTTTTTTCCCGTGGGAAAAAAGTGAGTACTTTTTTCCCGGATATATATCACATATATATACTCTGTTAATGGCTTTTGTTGTGCTATAGTCCCGAAAAATGAGTCCATAATACCGTCTCCGAGAAAGAACTGCAAGTCCTTTTATCTTCCATTCGACTTCGCGGCTTCGTATATTACTAAACAACTACTGAATTCGCAATTTTTTAAAATCAAATCACAGAATTGAACTGACAGAAGTGCCATCAGATATTTGATTACTTCAAAAGAATGATAAAGATGCCTATAAAACGCAGGTGTCCCTACTGTTAAAAACTTGAAATTTCACGTCGATAATTTTCAGATATCGAAATAATGTAATATATTCTCAATATCGATTCGTCCTTCCTTCTGTCACAGAAAAAAATAGTGTATTATACACGGGAAAAATATTAGATTTTAGCTCACGGTTTGTTGTCTCCCTCCGCTACGCGTCGGGAGACAACACAACCTGGAGCTAAAATCTACTACTTTTTTCCCTTGTATAATAAATAACTATTTTCCCACCCGAACTATGCAATTCTAGGATATTATTTTTTTGCTCACTATCGATCAATATCTATCTAGACACATATATACATAGAATACTTCATGGAGTTCAAAAAGGAAATTCTTATTCGATATTTGAGACGCTAATTAGGTACTTATTGGGTAGCACAAATCTCATACGTATATCTCTACCAAGGAAGGAAAAGTTACTTGAAGTTAATATCATGATCATAATATTATCGACACTATAATCATTATTACTCATCTCTCTATCCAGTATAGACTAAACGATCTGAAACTGTATAGATTGATATTCTATCATATATATACAGTGTGTCCCACTTACCATGGGTATCTTTTCAACGGTGAGAGATACGAGGTCGGTTAAATGACACCAAATGTGTAGTTTGTCAAGGCCAACTATAATGTGAAAAAATATTTTGATAAAATCTATTCGTTTTTGTTTTATACGCAAAAAACAGATTTTGGTCATTTTCATGTCTCCTCCGTAACTTCTTTATTCATGAAAATATTCAAATAGGAATTCCACATTCACATGGCAGTTTTTCAAAGTGATTTCGAAAAAAATATGAAATTTATACCAACTCTTCTAGAATTTGAGATATCAGCACCAACTTTAGTTTTTCGAATGCAGGTCATAGCTCACTATGACTTAGTTACAGATAACTTTTTTTTCTCTCACAGATGATATGGCGCAGTAATAGTTTTGTGTTGATAACAACGGAGTTATCGTCATTTATACAAAAACAAATAATTATTTGGAAGCCGTCATCTTGAATTTATGAATTTTAACAAAAAATCATGATCTCCGATCTCAAAAACCCCCACTTACCAATTTTGAATGGAATCGGACCAAATCTTGTCCGCCATCTTGGAGCAGCAATTTTTTCAATTTTAACAAAAATTCCATAACTCCGATCAGCTTGAAATTTGGCAGGTGTTCATAATTTTGGTGACAATACATTATGGAATTTTTGTTGAAATTAAAAAAAAATGCTGCTCCAAGATGGCGCTCAAGATTTGGTCCGATTCCATTCAAAATTGGTAAATGGGGGTTTTTGAGGTCGGAGATCATGATTTTTTTGTTAAAATTTATAAATTCAAATTTTTTGTTTCGTATAAATGACGATAACTCCGTTGTTATCAACACAAAACTATTACTGCGACATATCATCTGTAAGAGAAAAAAAGTTATTTCTAACTAAGTCATAGTGAGCTATGAGCCTCATTTGTGAAACTAAAGTTGGTGCTGATTTCTCAAATTCTAGAAGAGTTGGTATAAATTCAATTTTTTTTCGAAATCACTGAAAAACTGCCATGAGAATGTGAAATTTCTATTTGAATGTTTTCATAAATAAAGAAGTTAAGGAGGAGACATGAAAATGATCAAAATCTGTTTTTTGCGTATTGAACAAAAACGAATAGATTTTATCAAAATATTTTTCCACATTATAGTTGGCCTTGACAAACTCCACATTTGGTGTCATTTAACCGACCTCGTATCTCTCACCGTTAAAAAGATACCCATGGTGAGCATGGTAAGTGGGACACACTGTATATTGAATTGAACAATGATAGAGTGTCAATTTAATTGACAAGAGTGGGATATTTAACAACAGTATGAATTTAATTTCAATTGTGAATTGAGTCATCTGAATTGATATTTTATTCAAATTTCAGGAATAGAGAGTGAATTCAATACGGGATTATTGGAAATTCAAACTAGAATTGGTTTCAAAGGAGATAACCTGCGAGAAGTGTAGTTATAGAGTTGATTGATATTTTAACTCTAAAAACATACTCTGCGAATTTAACTCAAAGCGTTTTTCTCGAGGGGCGAACCACTAATGAAGTCTGGTGTACACGTTGAAGAAGTCTCGATGAAGTCAGTGAAGTCACGATGAAGTCACGATGAAGTCACTGAAGTCTCGATGAAGTCAGTGAAATCTCGATGGATGAAGTCAGTGAAGTCTTAGGAAAATGTGAAGTCTGGTGTACAAATTTTTGTCTGCAGTTCGCCCCTCGGTTTTTCCACTGTGTGACGGTCGTAGAAGAATAACTCACGAGGTATGATGTTGTCGTAGTGCACCTTCACGAACTTGTCCCTGTCCCATCTGGACTGCTCGTGGAAAATGCCAAGGGCGTGCATCAGCTCGTGGATGGCCCTACCCTCGCCCCCCAGGCAATTGGGACCCCGCCGGTCGGGCGGCTGCAGGCTGACGATCTGGGCGCCGCCGTACCTGCCCACGAAGGACCAGCAGCCTCTGGGGTACTTGATGGGCCACACCAGCAGGTAGTCCTTGGCCATGCCGTCCCACGGGACGAATTTGATGCACGTCATGAAGTTGATGCTGCGGATGGCCTTGATGATGGTCACTTGGTCCGAGGGTTCTGTGGAAAAGTACGTATGTACGTGTGATTCTTAGAATTTCTATCAATTTTTTTTTATTACTATGATACATCCGCTCTGAGCACCCGGTATTTCCATATTTACCTTTTCGTACGTAAAAACTTAGGCCCTCCTCCAATTTCGACGAAATAAATAGGACTATGTCAACATTATGAGATTACCGTGAACATACTCAAAAATGATTGAACACTTGAAGAAAAATAGATAGGAAGTCATTCGCGCACGTACAAAAAAAATATGGGGGTAAGTGTGTACTTGACCCGTAGTATTTCGAATATTTGACAGTTATTTTTTGTTTTGTTTCCTCACACGATGTAACTCTTTGTGCTGAAGTAATGTACCAATTTCGAGATTAATATCTTATCGAATACGCGAGTAATTAAAAAATAACAGTTTTTAATTTCCAACTTTGACACCTTGTATATCGAATATGAAGGGCTACAATGAAAAATGGTATTTAGAAACTCATTGTTTTTGTTCAAGGAATATATGGTTAATGGATTGCCCTCCTGTTAGCGGGCACCCTGTATATAATAGCACAAAGCTTGTTGGCGATATAAATTTATACCTGAAGTAAGACATTCCTGGAATTTTTCTTTATCTGGACACCAAATTATTCATTTTCAAAACACTGGTACACAAATCAGTCAATGAATGTCGAATCAAATGAATACTGTACTTAAAAACTAAACAGGAAACCCGTGGGTATTCGCAATTTTTCAAATTTCAAAACGGTATTTCGTTAGGCATGAAAATGCGTAGCTTTGCAATCTAACATACCCTGTATCTTTCACGGTTTTCGAGATCCCAATGATGAGGCTCGAATTCCAACCACCCTGTACTATCTTTTGGCTTTCCTTAAATAAACAAATGAGAATCGCAAATCAGAAAAAAGAGTCCAAGTCAGTTTTTTCAAATGAAATACCCTGTATATTTTCAACTCTAGTGAAATATATTTGCCTCCTGTTCACAAATATATAGGTAGATAGTTTGCTGATATGTTTCCTCAAACACGTTTTCACTGATTTACCATTGAATCAAAGTATGCCAAATGCGCCAAATAACTTTAATATATATAGCTGTGGCCACAAGAGAAATGCCATGGGAACAATTCAGTCACTTTCTGACAGCAGCTGTCAGTTAATCAATGAAAATGGGATATTCCCTGGAGGAAAAATACGAGATAGTTACTTCATTTCATGAGAATATTGCAAAAATTTCAGTAGGGTATCAAGAATTTAGTACAAAACGGCTTGAGGCATCAACATTAGCGAACTATATATATTTATGACCAGAAGAAAAAAATATTTCACGGAAGTTGTGAATACACAGGGTGTTCCATTAAAAAAAACTGATTTGGACTCTTTTTTTCTATTTTGCGAATCCCATCTCGTATAGTTGAAATTGTAGGTAGGGGTAAAAATATAAGGAGACAGCCAGTACCTGTGATAAAATAAGCAAGTTTTTATCAAGAAAAAAAAATACCGTTTCAATATTCTGGGCAATTTAGACACAACCAGATTAGAATTACTACCTCTATCAAAAAATATTGTTACACCATAATCATACCTTACCGATGGAGAAAACATTTACAGCAGAAAAAAATATATGATTTCCAATTCGTTATATTCGAAATATCCCATGTATAATCAAATATTCAACTTCATTATGGTGATCAATCGACTTTGAATGTGATGATAGGTTTATCGGTGGTAAATACATAAGAGATGATGTTTGCCTCGATACATATATGTTCAATTGTATAAAAGTTTCAATGTCATGGCAAACAATCGAGGATCAAGGGAGTGAAAAAATCGCAACAGCCTGCTCTGTTTTGAAGTTGACAGTTGAAGTTGAGTTTGAAACTACAGATACAACATGTATAAACATTCATAGTGAATTCAAATCCAAGCAATATCGATGATTAATGAATTTAGCCAATTAATTTTCTTCAACTTCCAAAAATTTTGTTCGAGGATATAAAGTAGTACAAATCATCTGTTTTCATAATGTGAAGTTTACTTAGAACCTTCAATATGGGCGTAAAAAAAATCACGCAAGATTTGAAATTGACGCCATCTATGATCATTTTCGAGCGATTTTGTAAAAAAAAAGTCAGAGTGAGTGTGAGAGCAAAAAGTTCCATGTTAATAAGAATGGGTGACTCCTCGAAAGACCAACAAAAATAATGAAAATTTGCCAGTTCTGTTTAGCAAATTTCGTAACTTATTGCGTGAATTTCGGGACATCTTATTATTCTATGAATTGTTCAATTACCATAAAGTGGACTTATGCTGTACGGCACAATTCCATTTTTCCAAAGTTTTTCGGGAAACACATCGAATCTTATTCCAACTCTCCAGTAGTTGTAGAAATCGTTATTCAAGGCCATATCACCTTGAAATAATCCTGGAGATACTTCTGGGTCCATTGGCTCATCTTCTGTTTCTGTTCCGGTTTCATTGCTGACTTAAAAAATAATGTTAATGAAGAAATAATAATTCATCATACATTATAAAAAATGCTATTTCATCGATGGTTAGATATTTCCACGATGATAGGGGTAGATGCACTGGTTAACTGACCAGCACTGGTTCTCGACCTTTCTGGCATTCCTTATACCAATAAAATTACTAGAGCATGTGTTTTCGACTTTACTTAATTCAAAATAGCTGACAGAGTGGAAAAAAAGTCGGGCTTTTCGAACAGAAAATCAGAGCCTGTGTTATCGTCCATGTTTGAATAGTGCTAGTCAATACCATCAGGCCAGAAAATAGTGAATAACTTTCATTTTGAATGCATTAGGTATATGAGTTTTGTTTTATATCAATTAGTAGATAGATATAGTTTTTCATTCATCTCAAGAAACAACACACATAAATGTTATTCTTTGTTGAATATTCGGTAGTCGCGAACTCGTTTTACAAAAATCGGCTCTTTCATTTCTCAACCAAGGTGGTCGGGAACCAAAGCATATCTTGAATAATTGTATATATCTTATTGTTAGAAGCTTTCTTTCAAAAAGGTTTAATTTTTTTTAAATACTGATTGATTTATATATCTACTCATTGAATATGAGTTTGCGACCACCAAATAAGGCCTAAATGATATTTCAATTATTGATGGTCGAAATCAAATTCGACCATATTCGGTCCTCGATCACTGTGGTCGAGAACCAGTTTGAACTAAATTTTGGTTCTCGACCATATCATTATCTGAATATCGCTGTTATGTCTAAGTATAAAATGATTTTACATTGAAATATTCACCATAGTTCATCATGAAGTACCTATTCATTCATAAATTTGATTTTTATTGATTTTTATTGTTCATACTTCTTCTAGGAATCCAAAAAGAATCTTCCTATCAGAGAGCCTAAAAGAAGAATTCACTAGCTTGTCTGTGACAATTTGTATTGAAAAATGTTTGAAGAAGAGAAATGAAGGTATATAGAAAAAATATAAAATTTTCACTAAGCTTTGAACAAATCTGCTTCCGTTTTCAACATGAAAAATGGATATTTGAATAGCAAATTCGTATTTGTCTTGACACTTTGCAGTTCTCAGTGACAGTATAAAGAAAAGACACATCGACAAATGAAAACTAGCTGAACATATCCTTACTGAAGATGGACGACATGGAATGGAATAATATCAAAATCGTTGGAAGAGAAGATAACAACCAGAAGAGAAAAATCAAGGAATCTGCTTGCATTCTTCTGAACGGAGACAATAGCATTGCTTTCTGTTCAGTTAATATAGATAGAACATGGTATTCACTACTGAAATCTGAAAATGAAAATGGTAAAAAACATCCTGTAACTCATTTTATTGCTAACGTCACTAATTGTCACTGAGAACTGAGGAGTGTCATGACAAATACGAATTTGCTATTCAAATATCTATTTTTCATGTTGAAAACGAGAGCAGATTCGTTTCCGATACGTCCAAGGCTAAGTGAAAATTTGATATTTTTTCTATATACCTTAATTTGTCTTCTCCAAACTTTTTTCAATACAAATTGTCACTGACAAGCTAGTGAATGTTTCTTTTAGGCTCTCTGATAGGAAAATGCTTAGAACGCAGTGACATTTCGGGGCAAATCATCTGAAATATCAACAATTATTCCTCCCTTGGCAGTCCCGCGAGATTAACCCGTCGAGTTGAGGCTTCGCACCCCTTCGTGGTCACTTTGGAGACCTGCAGAACATCTCTTTCCGAGGACTCATTCATCCAACGAACAGCGAGGCTCTGGAACACATTGCCAAGGAAGGTGTTCCCCGAAGCATATAACCTCCAGGAATTTAAGAAGAACACCAATTCCTACCTTATTTCCCTTGGTTCTCACGATGTTCTCTGAACATTACAGGATATCCCTTTTCGTGAGAACCAGAACATAAAAAAAACAATACGAAATGTCAAAATGTCAACAGATTGCTTTTGAATGACATTACACACGCCATTATTTCAAATGATATTCTTCCTTCTTTTCACTAACTATGGATAAATTACAAGAAAATCATATTTCTAGAGTTCTACGTTACATTGGGATATATATAAATTGTCCAATGATGAAAAAAGAAAGACAAATTGTTCTCAATGCGAGATCCAGAAGACAGGCAGAAAAGAAAGTGAAACTTGTAACTTTATAGTGAAATATCTCTATTTATAATGGTTTGTTCACATTTTCATTATCAAATTCGTGTTTTTCAGACAAAAATACGTAAGTAGCAAAAACAATTTTCGAAAAAAGAACCATGGCATGAAAAATGCAATTTTTCTTTTTCTTAATATAGGACAACCAACCTGTTTCTGGCACCGGAGGACGAACGACATCGGGCACGTAGGGCAAAGTGAACCTAGCATGGCAGCAGCACCGAAGAAACACCAGAAGCGACACCAACAAGCCAAGCAATTTCATTATGCGACCCGCTTTCGGGAACTGGCACACTAAAACTGGCGGCAATGTCTTTCTTCTTCGCAGTACCGTAACACTTCATTAGCCACGCCGAAGAGAATTCCTATTTCTATTATTTGTTTATTAGATCCAGATCCACTCTATTAGAGATTCATGATTTTGATCGGTGCGACAGTTCGGAAATAATATATGGATCACTTGGTTTTTTTCATGTCCGCACGGTGAATCGGTTAGTTACCTACACCAACAAAATATTATGTATTATTAAATCATTACATGATCGTTGTTACTGATAAATAATAAAGATACTCTGTATTCATATGATGGTATCAGATACTCTGTATATGATGGTATCCAGGATAATAGTAGTCATCAATCTGATGTTTTCTATCTGAACTGAGTCTTGTTAAGTTTTGTGAATATATCGTTTTTATATCGAAAATAGTATTCAATTCATTGTAATTGATATAGTGGTCCTTCGAACTGTCTTAAGAATCAACCTATTGTGAGAAAATCCTAGTTCCATTCAGATTACTACATCGAAATCGAAAATGACTGCAAATCTGACGTTGAGTGACATACAGGGTTTTGCCTTCAAACTCAGGAACACAAGTGATAGAGATTTGGTGGAAAATATTCATTTTCTTCTGTATGGCGAACTACCCAAGGTAAAAGCTGTGAAGAGAGCAATTCTGGCATTTTCCGGGTATAATTTCGAACAGAATTCAGAGGAATTCAATCAATATCTGAAATCTATCAGTGAATCACTCAGCATAAAGAGTCTGCAGAAACTATGTGATTTCTTTTCTCAGAACTACTCAACATCTGCATCTGCATATGAATTGTCTAGTATCCTTGTCAAAAATGTCTTTGAAATATCAGAAAATAGTGATAATACACAATTACATGCAGAAAGTGATAGGCATGCATCAGAAAGCATCCGAAGTTCCGTTAATCGAGGAAGTAGTAAAGCAAAATCAACGAAATCCTTGAAATCAGATGATAAGAAGATGCTAATTGATATGCAGAAAGATATCGATAAAATTCAAGAAGAAATATTCACGAAACAAGAAGAAGTCGTTACTTTGGAGAGTGAAATCGATACCTTGAAAAATGATGAATCAACTCCGGCTCAAATTCTCAAAGCAAAAGAGAGTGAGCTTACGAAGATGACAAAATTTCTTAAAATTCAAGAAGACCGTCTCAAGTACAAGGAGAAAGCTTTCATCAAATATCAAGAAATCTGTGAACGATCCAACGACAACTCAAATCAAATCACTTCAGAAGAGGAAGATTCAAATGAAGAAATACTGTCGGTGAATAGTAGAGTCCAAGAATGGGCCAACGAAGTGAACGATCAAACTGAATCTAGAAATGATAAACTAGAAAACCTGACACGTTCTATAAACAATATGCTGACACGTCAGACAGTAGGAAGTCAATTGGCACAATTTGACGGCACTTCATGTTTGAAGTGGCCCATATTTTATGCTCAATATAATCTTTCTAATGATGCTTGCAGCTTTACTCCTCAAGAAAATGTTTTGAGATTGAACAATTGCTTGAGAGGGGAGGCGCGAAAGACAGTGGAGTTGCTACTTATTACTGCAAACCAACCCAACGACATACTGGATATTCTGCAAAAGAAATACGGACGTCCAGAGCTGATAATGGAAGAACTTCTTTTGAAAGCACATTCGGTCGAAGCTGTTGAGAGTCTTGAGTCATTCTTGAACTTCAGTAGCGTGATCCGGAATATTGTGAACGTCATTGAAGGGGATATAGCTAAAATCGTTGATCAAAGATATCTGCTATCCTGCTTCGTCAATAAACTTCCTCCCCATCTACTCACCCAGTGGGGAAGTTTCCTAATAGAGAAGAAAATCAAAGATCACCATGAATCGCTGAAAGATTTCTCTGAATGGATACAAAAGATGTCGGAGGCAGTATCAAGAATCACCTTCATACCAAAAAATATTAGCAATCAATCTAGTATGAGCCATAAGAGTGAAGCGGAATGCTCTAACGTTAACCTCACCACCACTGCAAAACCACCAAACAGGACCTGCAAGATATGTACGAAGGAAGAACATTCATTGGATAAATGTCAACAGTTCCACTCTTCAGATGTACAGCAGCGATGGAAAATGGTTAAGAAGTCGAATGTCTGTTACTGTTGCCTACGTTCCCATAATGGGAAATGCAAACGGAAGACATCCTGTGGTGTGAACAACTGCGAGCGTTTCCATCACAATCTCCTCCATAAAAATGAAAATTCTTCTAACACTTTCCAGAGAAGAAAGGAGTATACATCGAGAAATACACAGAGCAATGTAGAAGCCAATGCTTGTGTGAACGAGATAATATGTACTACTCTATTGAAAATGCTGCCAGCTAAAATCAGAGGGCCCAATGGAACATTCAACATAACGGCATTGTTGGATGAAGGAAGTACCACCACACTGATTGATGCTTCAGTAGCTGCCAAAATTGGATTATCTGGTCCAATTTCACCTTTATGTTGCAAGTGGACGGGTGAAATCTACAGATATGATGAAAATTCTCAGATTGTTGAAGCCGAAATATGTGGCATAAACATCGAAACTTTCTACACACTGAAGAATATGAGAACAATTCAAGATCTGAAGTTACCAGTCCAAAGCTATGATTTACAAACGGTGATACAAAAATACCCATTCGTCAAACAAACTGCTTCCGATTTGGAAATCAGGAACAATCCAACACTACTTATCGGACAGAACAATGCCCATCTCATCATCTCCCGAAACATTATACAACCTAACCCGGATGGTCCGATTTTGTCTAAAACAAAACTTGGATGGACTCTTCATGGATCGGTAGATAATATACAGGGAGATCTGAAAAATGAGATTGCTGTTGTCTGTTGTGAAGAAGCTGATGAAAGACTACATGAACTGGTGAAGAATTTCATGAAAACCGAAAACTTTGGAGTACTTCCAACTCTTCAGGATCGAAAGAAATCGAAAGAAGATGAAAAAGCCCTTGTCATAGCACGAAATTCTATCAAATTGATCGACAACCAATATGAAATCAAACTGCCATGGAAAAACGACTGTTCATATTTCCCAGAATCTAGAAAAATGTCATTTCAAAGACTTATGTGTCTTGAGAGGCGCCTCAAGAAGGAAGAGGATTTCGCCGAACTGTACTGCAGAGAAATCGATAAGCTATTTCGAAACAACTATGCAGTTCCCGTTCAAGAAGATGAGATGGGGAAAGAACGCGTTTGGTTTTTACCACATTTTCCTGTCACAAATCCGAATAAACCTGGCAAAGTCCGTGTTGTTTTCGATGCTGCAGCTAGAAGTCATGGTTATTCGTTGAACGACTTCCTGCTTACTGGGCCCGATCTGCTAGCTTCACTTTTTGGTGTCCTGTTGAAATTCCGGATTCATAGAGTAGCCTTCGCTGGTGACATCAAGGAGATGTTCAATAGGGTCAAAATAGCGAGGGAAGACAGCTTTTCTCAATGTTTTCTATGGCGAAGTCCAAAATCGAAAGAGCCTCCGAAAGTTTATCGCATGACTGCAATGCTTTTTGGTACTACTTGCTCACCATTTTTAGCACAATTTGTTAAAAATCATAATGGTGAAAAATATAGAGCAGATTGTCCTGAAGCAGCAGATGCAATCATCAATTCCCACTATGTTGATGATTACTTGGATTCCACTGAGGATGAAGAGAAGGCGATCAAATTGGTGAATGATGTCATTCGAATCCACGATTTAGGAGGGTTCCAAATCAGGAGCTTCATATCTAACTCAACAAGATTATTGGATAATATTCCCAAACATCTGATATCAGAAAAACAAATGAGCACTGAAGTCGACAAGAACTCCAATCCAGAGAAAATTTTGGGAATGATGTGGAATCCCACTAAAGATTGTTTCATGTTCAAGCTGAAATTCCACAAGATTCCGAAAGACATACTGAACGGTGCCAAAGTTCCTACGAAGAGACAAGTTTTGAAGACAGCAATGTCAGTGTATGACCCTATTGGGATGTTATCACCTATAATTGTCAAAGTGAAAATACTTCTTCAGAAGATATGGCGAGCAGGACTGGGATGGGACGACTGCATCACAGAAAATATGTTCAAGAGATGGTTAGCTTGGTTAGAAGAATTACAAATGGTGATGGACATAGAAATTCCACGATGTTATTCACTTCAGTTGAAAGAAGCCCAAGACATCGAACTACATACATTTTCAGATGCAAGTGAAGATGCCTATTCATCAGCTGTATATCTCCGGATGAAGTATGAGCAGAATCATATACAAATTGTACTTGTTACTTCAAAGGCACGAGTTTCACCTCTGAAATCACTATCTATCCCAAAACTGGAGTTACTTGCTGCCGTAATGGGAGTTAGATTATCTACTGAGGCCATGAAACACCTGAAATTCGACATCCGACAAAAATTCTACTGGACGGATTCGAGAACCGTGCTACATTGGATCAACAGTGAGAAAAAACTCCAATCCTACGTATCTACCAGAGTAGGAGAAATTTTGGAATTTACTGAAGTTGATCAGTGGAGATGGGTTCCGACTCTTGATAATGTTGCCGATGACTGCACGAGAGAAACATCCAAAGGAAGTATTCATGCTAATCATCGATGGTTCAGAGGACCTGCGTTTCTCTATGGAACTGAAAACAGCTGGCCTCAAATTCAGTTGAAGACAGGAGAAAATACTCTCCAGGAGACCGTGGAAAGCACCTTACAAAATGTGTTGGTGGAAGAAAATTGCTTCGCTCAAACCGTTCCACAAATAAGAAACCATTATACATGGGTCAAACTTCTGAGAATCACAGCAAGAGTCCGTCAGTTCATACGTCACCTCAAAAGGACGGAAGAAAAAAGAAATATCTTTCTGAGCTGCGACGATATGGTATGGAGCGAGAAACTCTGGTGGAAAACAGTGCAATGTTCAAGATTTTCCATTGATCTCAAGAACTTACGCAAAAATAATTCCAACAGAGATGGTCGTCTACATCAAATGTCGCTTTTTCTTGACAAAGATAATGTGATGAGGGTTTGCAGCAGAATCACAAGAATAGAGGACATTCCGACGGGAATTGAAAAAGAACCTGTTGTTCTAGATGGTGATCATCCCTATACCCAAAAAATGATCATGCATTATCATGCAAAATATGGCCATCAGGGTATAGAGACAGTCGTGAATGAAATG